GCGTGCCTTATCCCAGAATGTCCCATGGTGGGTGTAGACAGGAAAGAGAAAAAGAAAGTAACTTCACTCATTCTGAGGGTTCCCACCCTCCTCCCAGAGTCTCCCGTCCCCAGATCAAACGCCTTTCTGCAGCTTGTTTCAGTCAAAGGGTTTCTAGCAGCACAGTTCACCCTTCACTCTCGGGTCTACTCTTGGGATCTGGGAGATGCCATTGTAATGATTGTACAGGGCCGTAACTCCTTATTTACCTCTGTAAGTGTGCAGTTCGCTCAGCCCCTTCCTGTCCCTGGGTGGCGACAGCAACGAAGTCCTGAGGACGTTTGAGGCACTTTAGGGGATGGGATCTTTCTCAGGAGCCCTGCTGATCTTAGGCACCCAGAGCGACCAGCATTTCTGAGTCCATGAAGGCGGTAGCGACATCGTGCCCTCTATTTCTATCAAGCCGGATTTTAATTAAGATGTTCTTTTCATGCTACCAGGTTTGTAAGTGAATAAACAGACATGTTCGTTACTCTGGCCGTGGCTACTTGTGAAACGTTCTTCATCTCTAGTGGCTGTGTGTCGTATTTGCCCTCACAAAGGCTAAACATGGTACCTAAAACCGTTCGCATCTGTGTTAGCAGAGTGTGAAACAGAGTCTGGACACCCAGGTACGGCAGACACAGGTGGGCACTACGCCACCGTCCAGGCAGTGGTGGCGTGGCTGGGGACGGAGAGCCTCCCTTCCTCCTTCCGAAGGTTACGAGGACTCACACCTGAGTCTTTAACCCACGAAACCGGTGAACTAGTCAAGTAAGTGCTGAGCATGTGCTAGACGCCAGTGGGGGTGCCTTAGAATCGTCTGGGGCACCTAAAGCAATCCCCTCCACGTGAATTGGAATCAACAGGGCTGGAAATCTGGTCAGTATTTCTCCAGAGACTTCCAGCAACTTCTCTTGTGTCTCGAAACCACTGGATGCCAACTGTTTAAGAGTCCGCAGGACACATGGTAGTTGTTGAGAGATCTGTGGGTTAGGGAGGACTTTCGCTGGTCCCTGAGCAGGACAGGGTGTTTCTTACACATCATCCCATGTAATCTTTATGACAGTCTCAGGAGGTGAGGTTTTAGCAGATGATGTAGACTCAGAAGGAACATGACGTTTCCAAGATCACACAGCTTGGGGGAAGATGTGGAAATGAACGCAAAGGTGCTGCATTATAGCACAGGGCAGGGGGCCAGGAGGCCATTTGAGGCTGGGGACAGGGAGGGAGGAAAGAGCACACAGTGTAACAACAGGGAGGCGCTCCCTGGCTGTGGTACACTGGACATTTTCAGTCCCTCGTTCGTCTGCCCCGTGAGCTTGCAGCGCATGACCGGCTTGGAGCATAGCTCTCGCCCTGTCATGTTGGTTGGCGTCAGCCATGCTGGGACCTTGCTTTAAAAGCTAGGCAGCCGCCACGGTGTGCAGGTGGCGCGACCGAGGCCTTCAGGCGAAGCGTGCGTGGTCATCAGCCCTCCTGGGCGCTGCTGTCATCATTAGATGGTGCCCTGAGTAGCCACCGTATCTCGGAGGATCACGCGGCATGAGCGACAGACCCGGGAAACAGATGGGACCCCGACCTGAAGCAAAGCCCCCTGGCCCGCAGCCTAAATCGGCTGCCCAGCCAAACCGTAGTCACCGCAGGCCCCTAAGCACGAGGCGAAATGCTGGTGGAAGGCACCAGGTCTCGGGCTGGTTTGTATGCCGCCTTGTGCAGCTCAAGTACGGGGTCTCTGACAGTGTAGCCATGTAGGACTGGTGCCATCACGGCCTCATCCCCTTGAGGAATTCTCCACTCACTGCCAACTTGGAGTCACTGGTCTCTATTCTGCTCATCCAAGCAATGTTCCAGCAGCTACAGGTGGGAATCCCACAGGCTAACATGTCAGGAACAACCTCATCAACCTGTCTTCCAAGTCTCCTTTTATTTCCACGTCCACGAACCGCCAACCGAGCCCCAAACCGGGGAGTCATCTGGTCACCCGCCTGGCTTCTCCCTGTACCTCTAGTTCATCACCCAGCTCAACCGAGTCTGTGTCCCCAGATCTCTCGTCTCTCCTGGCCTCTCGTTCCCCACCCCCGCCGCTGGAGGTCAGAGAGTTGGCATCCCTTGCTGCGATGATCATCCCTACAAGCTTGATCCCTGCTTCTGGCGTCACCCCATCCTCACTCTGCAGGGTTGCCTTCCCCAAGCACGTCAGATCATTTTACTCACTGGCTTAACCTAACAGCTCCTCGGGACTCCCCGTTGTTGGGGAGACGTGTTCAGACTCCTTAGCGTGGCGGAGCACGGTCTCCATGGTGAGACCGGCGGAGGTGCCCCAGGTGGCTCTAGGGCCAACCGTGTGCGAGGCTGGGGCCCGAATCCTGGCCCATTTGCCCCCCGTGTGCGACTGATCCCATCTCACACCCTGCTCTCAAGTCCCACACCCCCAAACACATCTTTTGCTCGCTAAGATGCCCTTCCCGGCACCTGTCCTTCTGTGCTTGGGGAAGAGTCCTGACTTGAGAATCAAATGATCCCCCATGGCCCCTCCCATCAGCCTGGCAGACGCCTCCAGAATTTCAAAACCTCAGCCCACCATCACCAGCATCTCCTCGGTGACGCCTTTCCTTCCCGCGACAACTGGCCTCCCTTTGGTGTGCCCACTCTACTCTTTCCACCTCTGTCTTTACTGGTTTTTTCCCCTACTCGTTCTGTCAATCCCTCCGTGGAGGACGGGCTTCTCTGAACCCCCAGCATCTGGTATCGTGCCTGGCATCTAGCACATGATCGAGCGAATGGGGAAAGTGGCGAGCAAAAGCTCTGTTTGCCAATCTGTAAAATGGGGATGATGTCCTGGCCACAGAGAGCAGGGGGCATCGGGTTACTGCAGCTGGCCCTCCAATGGACCAGTAGGTGGCGCCGTGACATACGAATGAGGTTTCCTGGGGCCTCCCAGCCCGGCATCTGGAGTGTGGGTTGTCAGGATGAACTAGAAACCCAAATCAGACTAATCAAATCTCCCCCTGAGAGGTGACACCCCATGTGGCCCCCGTGACTCAGGAGGGGCTGAGGAGAGGCTCCTTTGGGCAGCCTTGAAAAAAGGGATGTGCCCTCGGTTGCCTGG